TTCGAATCACTCGGGAGTATAAATATCTTTCTGTCGATGTGATCTGTTCGCCATGTTGTGTTGCTAAGACAACCACACGCTAAACGTACTAAACATCACAAATTGAAATTAATATACTTAAGTGTTGCTCGTTCTTGATATCATGCTGGGGGACGGAATATATTATATTATTCGTGAAAGGGCAGGCAGATCAATCATGATATGACAGTACATGCAGTAAATTAAACCTGTACCGAATATGAAAAAACGTCAAGTTCACATCCGCCCACACTCCCCACAAAATAAAAACAATTTGATATTGGTTGTAATGCAGTCCGACATATTTTTATGATTAGCGATTTCTGGTTAACAAATTGCCTTTTCAGTTTATATTGAATTCAAACCTTTTTAGGAAGCTGCACTTGAGTAGAAATTTAGAAATTGATATACTTTTTATAATTTTAATATTTAATCATATTGTATAGTATACATACTTAATCTAGGCCAACATGCCCATTGTGGAAGCCAGGTCTGTATTAAACTGACAATGCTAGCCAGTGCGGAAAGCAGTTTTATAATTTGCAAAGCTATCCTGTAAAATAAAACTACAAATAAATAAATGAATTCACAATAATTGAATTAAAACGTCACTATGCGCTTCCAAAGAGCTTTTTTGTGTGGAAACTATTACCCTAACTTTAGCTCCGGCAGCCGTTATCAGCGCACAGTGCATTTCAAGGAATAATCTTACCCATTTACCTAACACGAGTCGAGTGTCTTGCCAAAAGGACATTAGTGCCGTGGCAAGGACTCGAACCGCCAACCTTGTGATCCACAGGCCGGTGATATATCCACTCGACCACGATACTCTACTTTTAGGCACTTGAATTCAGAACTTTATAAAACGAGTTTTTCCATCGAATGCATAAGTTTTGCCTGCTATAAACCTAACCGTAAACCGTCGGGCACCCAATACCCCCTCCCCGGTTTCATTTTGCCAAATGTTTGCTATTATTTCGTGTGTCGCAATAACATTTTGTGTCAGGATAAGGGCTAGGGTTAGGAACGTACATGGTGATGGATACTAGATTACATTCAAAGATTCAGTTATTGTAGCTCAATAGCCGCTAGGGCCTTTAATTTATCACTGATTGTAGATGATTACGTAACCATCTTCACCTGTTTTACAAGGGATTAATAATGTTAAAGGTGAAATTCAAAGAAAATCACAAATATGTCAACTAATGTATCACTAGAAACTGGTAAGCTAACAGATGGCCATCGTACAAGTTTTAGGTCAACTACATATCGGGTGATTTATAAAAATACAAATACATCCACCTCCGTAGCAGCTGGGATATATACGAGAGATTCGCCGGAAAAATAACGATGTTTAATGACGTCACTATATGGACCAATACTGCCCAAGCAGACGACATCCCATAAAGAATGAACATAAGTGCAAAGCTATTATTTGTCAAATTATAATGAGTTCAGTGTATATACATGTAATGGCATGTCAAAGCATTCAAAAAGGGATATGACCCGATTCTGATAACTAAAATCTTTTGCTTGTAAATACACAGGATAGGGGTTAATTAACAATCAAAGAAACCAGACTTTCAAATTGAAAACCCCCCGGAATGATATTAAGGACGGCATTTGTTCCCTCTTGAAACGCCGAACATACCGGGGTGTGTGCAGCTGAATATACAATGGCGTCTTATTTTGTTTACAAGCGACAGATTCCTTTATTTTTGTATCGCTGCATTTGTCATCAAAATAAAAACATGTGCGGGGTTTAGAGTGAGGCAATATATTATACATTTAGCCTGACGGTACTGAAGTAAGAGAAAGAACTCAAGAGAAGATGAAAACACAGGCACTGAAAATGTGTGAGATGTCATGGGACATCGTCTGCTTGTGCAAATCATGTCCATACTGTGATCTCACACATCTCAGCAGTGTTCGTAGAGCTCTTCAGGTGCTTTGCCGGGGCTGTATTTAAGCGTTTTGTAATTTATGATAATCATTACTTCGAATGCTTTCAAGCATTACATTTTGATAACCTTGTCGAATCAAAGTTTTAACTTTGCAATAATGAAAATAAAGTTAGTTTTTAAAATCAATGAATATCTACTTTAACGAAACCCTCTTCCCAGCAACTAAACTTTATCGGCTGCTCCTCAGGCTATAACACCCAGCTGCTATTGATAGACTGTCAATCCTTGTTGCCAATGTCTTAAAAATAGTCTCGAACATAGATACCGAATCTTCTGTCACTTTTGGCAAAGATTTACATGATTACATATTCAAAAGAATCGAACAGTTGAACATGTTATATGTTTTATCACGTTTAGAGCAGGCATCATCATTCAACTCGCACATAACGACTTACCTGGAAATCTGCAAACTCTGTGTCCGGGTGGGATCCCCAGTTTACTCTTCCTTCTTGGACAAGCAGCTTCCGCAGATGAGTATGGGATGAGCTTTGGAAAGGTCTGTACCATGCTGCCATTAGAATGCAGTTTCTTCTTACATTCGCTGAACATTGGTAAGGTGTAGTTCAACCCTAATCCGTCCGAACAAGAAGTGCCCGTCTTCTCATTCGAAGAAACGAGAGACGCTTTGAAAGAGATACGAACCAGGAGATAATTTAAAGTTGAGTAAAGAGTATTAATCTCTCGTGGTATTAACCAATAAAACCCCAGTAACTACAGCCACTAGCGGAGCGTGAGTCCACCCATTGAGGAAGCCCTTGAACTATGGGGGGGGGGCACAGGTATAACTCGGAAAATGAAATGCGAATTGACAAAATTTACACATTAGTATGGGGTGCGGGAGGGGGGGGGGGACTCTCTTAGCGTCTTCTGTTCTCGAGTTTTCACTTTTCTTTTTAGTTGGCTTTTCTTTATTTTCTTGCCTTTTTCTCTTTTTCGTTTTAGTTTATTGCACCACTCGACTGGGAAACAAAAGGCAAGAGCGCCTTGCTCTGCCCCCAGTTTCTACTCCACTGACTACAGCATACAGACCTGCTGTTTTTTCTTCTACCTGAAATGATGATTAAAAAACACATCCAAGATCTGTCCCTTTGAATTTATATTCATGGGATATAAGCTGCAATACCTGAAATGGATGAACCCATGACAAACGGTAACTGTGATTGCTCTAAACTTTCATGAAAATGTTTTTAGGTAACTTGTTAACGGCATTTGATCGTTTAACATGTTAAGTAGTGATTTCTCTTATTCCCATAGACTAAAGACAGGAACTACTAAGTTGCCGTAGGCAATGGGTTAAAGTGAAATAAGAATATGTAAATTATTAATAAACTACCATTACACGCGTTTTAAAAACCTTGTATACGTGGCATAAAGTAGTTCAAATAAATAGTAAGTTGTCCCAACTTAAAATCCTTTAACGAAGATGTACTAGACTGGCATGGCATTTCTCCCACCAAATAATGAAGATTCGTGATAAATCAGATTCTGAAGTTAAGTTTCAATTATGATTTTTGTTTTAAACACAACAACTCTCTAGTTGTTATCATAGCCATCCTCTGTAAACTCAAAAGGTATGTTGATTGATTTGGTTCAGCTTGTGAGCATTTATTACAAAGTACCGACAAGGCACCACGTACATAAGTTTCTTGCCAAAGGTTTGCCAAACGAGCTTTAGGGGATATTGCTCTTAAGAGTCGCTTAAAATTAGGGTCGCGTTTAATGATGAGAGGAAAAGGGGACACTTATCAGAAAAGAAAAGTAGCACGTGTCAAAGTACATAGAATAATTATCAGAGGTGAAAATGAGGCACTTTTTACACCTTCAAAAAGAGGCACTCGTCAGGGATGAGATAAAGCACTTATGAAAATAGGAAATGGGCATATGCTGACGGAAAAGGGGCATTTATGAAAAGGGAATAGGTTCCTTACTAGAAAGGAAAAGGGGCACGTATCGCAACCGAAGAGAAGCACTTCTCGTACCTGAAAAGGGGTTTTTATCAGAATGGAAAATGGACACTTATTGCAAAGAAAATCGGAACTTTTCGAAGGAAAAGGGGCACTTGTCAAAATAAAAGGGGGACTCATCAGAGGTGAAAAGGGGAAGGGACACTTTTACAAATTAATAGGGACACTTGTCAAAGTAAAAGGGGCACTTTTCTTATAAAAAAGGAGCACTTTCCGGGTACTTGAAAAATTGTGGGGGGGGGGGCAATGTACCCCCCGGCCCCCCGGGAGGGCCGCCTTTAAATTAATTTTCAGCTAACGAGATAACAACAGTGGCCCATGTTCTTTTAATGTCTGGCCTCTGACTACGCCCCCATGGCCCCTCAAAACAAAAACATTTCATCAGTATCACTTCTATGAATACACAGGGTAAAATACATACAAATTTCGTTAAAGAAATACAAATGTGTCTATGAAATTATTTCCATATTCTGCTTACTTATTTGTATTTTTTTATACATGTATTGAAAGCGCCAAATAAATGAATAAGTAAAAAAAATAATAACAACACAACTTTGATTAATAATTTCATTATCAATGTTTCATTGTATTTATGTTGAATAATACTAGCAATATAATAACAATGATAATAATAATAATAATGATAATAATAAATGATCGTTGACCAGAATCATACGTACCGAGGGATACACATGTCAGGAAAACAAGGATCACGCCTCGTATGAGATCTTTGTCCTTTACATGTGAAAACAAAATGGAAAAGTCTTGAAGTTAGATGCAGCAAAATTACCTGACTGAAGACTAACGTACATGTACATAATAAACACAAAGGCTACATGTGATATATTGCTATTTTAGGGCAATTAACTCTACTCCCCTGCAGATAAATAGGTCATTTTCGTAAAGTAACCAAATATATACTTCAGTGCTTCGCTACGAATCATTTCACCTGTTACGAATAACTATATTTCAATAGTCAGAACGCGAATTGCATATAATTACGTCTTGTACAGAGTGAGTTAGAAAAAATGTCCCACTTTTTAAAAGTTGTATTGTTTGAAGTATGAATATTTAATCATGGGTCTCATGATATGTCTTGATAGAGTTATCCTCCCAGTACATTTAGGTACCATTTTCATTTGAATCTTTGCATGCATGACTGAACATCAGACAATCTTTACAAGACTGCCAGATCTCACTTGCGCCAAGTTGCTGGGTGAGGAATAAAATAGTGTTTTGAACAAAAACAGCCAGACGGACGAAAACACACACACACACACATACACACACACACGCGCACGCACGCACACACGCACACACACACACGCATACACACACACACACAAACACACGCACAAACACACGCACACGCACGCATATTCTATCAAGACATATCATGAAACCATGATTAAATATTTATACTTCAAACAATCCAACTTTTGAAAAGTGGGACATTTTTTCTGGCTCACTCTGTATAGTAGGGCAAGCCATAATGTTTGTCCTACTTAGCAACAACCAATGTATCTAATTTGAATTCAGACTATTGAAATACAATAATTTATATCGAGGCGCTTCATAGGAATAAATTTGCTTACATTACAAAATGGCCTATTAAAAATATGATGATAATGATGATCCATAGCACTTGTATGGCGCCATTTATCTGTTTCAAACAATCAAAGGAGCCCGCTCCTCCATTAGTTATAGACTTCACATTTGCTTGGAAAGATTTGCTTTTGTCGGTGTTCCGAAGAACAGGAGGGATGGAGTTCCAAAGGGGCACCTAAAAGGGGCTTTCAAAAGCGAAAAAAAATACAATTTTGAGACATGGGTTTATACCCCTACAATCCTACATTCCAATCAATAGTTATCAAGGATCATCTTTACAATTTTGTCGTTTCTCTCTTGGCGTGGCCCATGATACTGCTTCAGTATCATACTTTGCCATTGTGTGAGATGATCTGTATATATTATAGATTTGTCAAGTCGCATTACGATTAATGAGATCTTACTTAAGAGATTTAATTATCCTGATATGTTTTTTTCTAAATATTCTCAAAATATAAGAATAAATAATACCTTTAACGTCACAAATTAATTAGATGATGAATTACGACTGCTAGAGAGCATATTATAGCGAGCAAACTATGCGTAAACTCGAGGGAATATACTGGTCTTGGATACTTAGATCAGGGAAACACACGTGAGGGAGGTTATGACGTATCTGTTGTTAGGGGGTAGACTAGGGGTGACAAAACACCTTGCCATAGTAAGCTATTATAAAGAGCACGGGCATTCGATAGCGGTGAACAACATTCCATTTAATAACAGGGGCGCACAGTTCGTTCTTATAATATTATGGGCATATTGCTCCCATGCCCCGTCTCTTTGTAGTGGTATAGAAATAGGAACCTGTTACTATGAATCTATGATGATAGAAAAATAGAGTAGTTGTTACTACTCCGATTCTTCTTGAATCAAGATATGGCTCTTATAAGCTGAGGGCCAAAGTCAAATATCATGGTTAGTTTTTTAGTTGCCTGCCACTGTCAGATAAACTAAGCACACCTTGTTTATTCGGAAGATTTCATCATAATACACAATATTTCAGAGGTCTTTTATTTTTGTATTTGTAGCGGTCACCTCTAAATCGAAGAGGGCGTCCAAAAAAGCGGCTCTTTTGACGAAAAATTGTATTTTATTAATAATATTTCAAGGAAAACTAGAAACACGGCCAAAAATAAAAATTTGCTTGTCGGGAAAATTTCCCAAATTCCCTACGGCCCATCTGCCCCTGGATGTTTCCTTAGGATACGTGTATCTTTTTTTTCTTCAACCAATCATGACAGTTGTTGTCAGAGGAGAACCCCTTTTTTTAGGCGTCGGTTAAGAGAGAGAGAGAGAGAGAGAGAGAGGGGGGGCGGGGGGGGGGGGGTAAAGGGATTGACACCATATCAATTCAAAATTTTGATGATAAACATTTTATCCTAGCATTTGACGAACAATCTTCAAAAAACTTACATTAGCAAATTTTTCCCTTTCTATTTTACTGAATATTCTTTAATCTGGTCAGGAAATTCGAATTCTAGGGATGTGTTTGTGTGAATAAATATTCAATTTTCTATTTACTATAAATGTAGTTCTTATGTTTTGTTTAAAACAACAAACAAACCAATTTTGTGTATCATACCACGCGCCTGGTGATACAAAGCTCAAACATACACCCAACACCCATCTCCATATTAAGCAGTGTCTTCATGTATTATGCCTTAATTTCTTTCAAAATTCAGAACTAGTTAGCATTCTAAACACATCTTGGGAGTTTTTGTTCTCAATTTTTCTTTCAAATTTAAATAGTAGGGGTGGGGGACTCGTTCTTAAACCCATCCAGGATGACTTCTTTTTTATTTCTTGCAAAAGCGTATGATATTCAAGCATTTTACATTTTAGCAATAATAGGGACTTAATATCTCCAAGATTTTGTCCACACTTACGATCAAATAACATGCATATGCCGCATTTATCCATCATTTTTTTCTTCAAAATTAGGAACTTATTTGCATTATAAATATTTTTTAGGTGGTTAAAACCTCAGACTATTTATGATATCGAAAAGGACTCTTTC